GGTGAGGTCTGGCTTCTGTGGAGGCGGACGGCCAGACTCCCCGCCGGCGACCTGCTGTGGTGCCCAGCACAGAGGGGTCTGCTCTGCTGTCGCCTCGGTGGCCTCTGGGCTGTGTGCTCAGTCCTAAGAGAGGAATGCCCTGGAAATCATAAGACTGCAGGGGCCGTGGGGAGGGCCGGCCCGGCCCCTCCTGTGCCTGCTTCTGAGCAGAGCAAGGTTGGTCCCAGGTCCCAGGTCCTGGGTCCCAGGAGGCAGGGCTGTCTGCAGTGCCCAGCTTTCTAGGTCTGGAACTGGGCCTGCCAGCTCACTCCACTTCCCTAGTCAGCCTCTCTGTGCCTGTGTCTCAGCTGCAGAGTGGCTCTGACACCCTCCACCTCCTGGGCTGGCAGGAGGACACAGAGCACAGGCTGCCCGCAGGCTCAGGGTAACGCTCGCTCATGGGCTGGGGGAGGCCTAGAGGCCCTGCTCACCCAGGGATCGGTCCGGCTCTCCTTCCCTTCGATCGCTGACACATGGTGAGACCACTTAGAAGGCTGGCTTGTGGCCGGCCACAGAGGGTACAGGCAGGAAACCCCGAGGGCCAGGGCACAGTAGGAAGGGCTGGGGCACCCACCCTCTGGCTCCAGAAACCTGCCAAATAGCCAGCGCAGCATGCACCAGGCCACGGCAGGCTCCTGACGTTCAGGCCCGAGCCATCGCTGTTGTGGGCCTTCTGTGCCATCCAGGGCGCCATAGTGGACAGCCACTGCCGCTGGCTCCAACCCAGGGGCTCCCAGCTCTGTAAGACCTGAGCTGGGGACAGGCACAGAGAGACCACAGGAGGAGGGGGTGCGGGAGAGATGGCGGAGGCAGACCGAACGTGGCTTCCCTCGCCCGTCCTTCCAGAGTTCCTGTTTATAGCTTCAGGTCACCTGTGTCACTCTTTCGTCCCACTGTGGGAAGGCTAGCTTGGCGAGGGATGTGCACTGGGGCTAGGGTTAGTCTGGACCCCAGGCCATGTGAGGGTCCTAGGGCTGGCCTGGCCAAAGGTGGCTCCAGGCCACGGCAGCTGCCACCACATGGCAGGGGCCCCCTTCAGACTCCTGACTCAGTCACCAGAACCCACACCTATTAGCTGTGTGGACTTTGACCAGACTCTGCTTTTCTGAGCCTCGGTTCCCTAGTGTGAGATGGGAAGATCTAGGGGGCATTCAAGACCATGCTCGTGGGGCGTCACACCCACCCCCTGGTACAGCCGGGGTCCACGCGTGGGCCGCTGTCTCAGGCAAGGTCCTGGGGTCTGGTTAGCCAGGGGCAGCCAGCCAGTCCTTTCCTGGACGAGGAGGGGCCTCTCGTTTGCAGGCAGGATAGGGCAGCCAGGGCCATGTGGGTGGCCAGTCCCTGCTGCTGCGGCTGTTCCAGCCGGGCTGAGGCCCGCACCCCAGCCCTGTGAGCAGGGGCGCCAATAGAGCCCCAGCCCAGCCTGCCTGTTGGTGTCTGCTGGCCCAGCCCCCTCCTCTATCCCACTGTGGGAAGACTAGCTTGGCGAGGGATGTGCACTGGGGCCTGAGGAGAACGAACCTGCCCTATTCGCCCCCGCCCCGGAGCTGCACTCTCAGAGTGGGGGAAAGGCCGTCACATCCGGTCCCGAGAGCTCAGCTCCTGGTGCCGAGGAGTAAACCCCAGCCCAGGGCAGCCTGGGCACCTCGCTGCTGCCTCTAGGTGCTCCCAGGCCCTCCCCAGAACCTCCCGGGCGCCAGGCCTGACTCCAGGCTCCCCTATGCTCCCGGCTGGGTCTGAACCCAGTTATCCCTTACGTGACACGAGCCCTTCTATGGGGCAGCCCTGGGGGTGGGCAGGATCCTGAGCAGCCCCTGGCCCTGCACCCACGTGGTGGAAGGGCTGCTGGTGTGGCAGGCCTAATGATGTCACTGATGTCAGCGCCCACGGCTGGGGCATTGGGCGTGGACTGTCAGGCAGCCCCAGTGAGGCCAGGAGGGTGTGGCTGCTCACGGGATGGGCCTTGGCAGAGGGGCGAGAGTCTCGTTCTTGGTTTGAAGTTTACTTATTTGTTTATTTCTCTCATGAGAAAGGGAGCCCGGGAGGGGCAGAGTCTTCACGCCACAATCCTATGCCAGCGCCAGCACCACTCCGCATGCACAGGGAACCCTGGGGTGGGGGCCCGTGGCTCTCACGTGGTCTCGGCACCGCAGAGTGCTGGCTGCTCTAACAGTGGGGAGCAAAGGAAGGGGACATCAGGGCTGCAATGTGCAGGGTCTGAGAGGCGGGCTTGCGCGTGGAGAGGGCCACGGGGCCAGACATGGAGGGGCCATGTGTCACTACAGCCAGCAGCTCCACACAGTCCGGCTCTGGGCCAAGATGCTGGGCACCCCACGAATGCAGCCATGGGTCCTCTGACTCCAGCTAGGAATAGCATGGGCGTGCGGTGGGGCCGGCCACCACCGGGGGCTGTTATGCACAACGTCCCAGAACTGCTGAGCCCCACCTTCCTGATCCCAGGGCTGCGTGCTGCATCACTCCCGGACATGGTGCGAGTTCTCCCAGAGCCCCGGGCTCCGACTAGGGGGCCCCAGCTGGGGAGGGCTGTGCTCCCGCCCAGTCTCAGGGGCCGCTGTTTGGATACTTTGAAGCCCCTTCACATTAGCCTTCTCCAGGCCATTAGGGCTTCTGAGCCCCTCCCGAGCCCCTCTGAGCCCTCTTGCTCCCTCCCAGGGGCCCACTCTGCTTTGGGCATGCGGAGGCCTGGGGATTGGAGGACAGACGGTGATGAGATGGGAGTGAGGCAGAGCCAGGTGACCCTTGGGGACGAGGACCACGACCAGGCCCTGTGCCCAGCTGCCCGCTCAGCCATCATGGGGAGGTGCCAGGGGGAGGCCCGAAGTGGTGAGAGCTCAGAGCCCATGACTGCCAGCCGGGGGAGGACTCTGGTGGAGAGGAGGGGCTCAGGTCCATCCTGGGTCCCCAGCCAGCCCTGGCCTGACACTGTCCCCAGAGCAGTGACCCGGTGCTCCCTCCACACAGGCGCTTCCACCACTCGCTCACTGACCACCACCGCTGGGTCCGCGAGCGCAGCCCCGAGTCCTACGCCAAGAACTAC